ACGCCTTCCTCAGCTGAGAGTAGCAGCAGCAGTGATGCCCTCGAAAGGTGATCCTTAGTCCGGGCTGTTGTATTGTTCATAATCTCAAGAACATATACCAATCGGATGCACTCAGGAAAGATGAGAATTACCATTGATAACAATGGAGTTTCATCACCCTAGTGATATGAAAAACATATTCCACGACTACTGAATATCACCGCGAATATCGCGTTTTTCACCGAGTTTTACGCCACTTCACGTAAAACGGGTCGTGAAACTCCAACATATGGACCAAAAGTCTTTTTTCCATGGAAAATACCCAACCCGGGACTGTATTCTGAATGCGCGGCGGAAAGTGTCACGCCTTCCTCAGCTGAGAGTAACGCTGACCTAGTGTATGCTTTACTGGAGTTTCACGCGGTGTAAAACTCCGTGAAAAACGCGGTATTCGCGGTGCTATGCAGTAGTCGGGAAATATGTTTTCCACTAGTGTTTTTCATAACACGGTCGTGGGACGTAATAACAATCGCTTACTCTCTACTATGTTGCAGATAGGACTTCCTGATCGATTCGCTTGCCCGAGGGCATCTCGTATTTTCTCATCAGCCACTTCGACCATTCTAACCTACAATGAAGTTTCACCCTAGTGATATGAAAAACATATTTCACGAAAACTGCATATCACCACAAATTTCGCGTTTTTCACTTCACGTAAAACGGGTGAAACTCCAAAGATAAGTTGGATGAGAGTTTTACCGAAATTGTTGTTATTTGTTGATCACATTTTTCACATGAAACTCTACTGTAATAATAATGCCTTTATTCACCTTAACACTATAAGTAAACTCTACTGTAATAATAATGCCTTTACTCACCTTAACACTATAAGTAAACTCTACTGTAATAACAATGCCTTTACTCACCTTAACACTATAAGTAAACTCTACTGTAATAATAATGCCTTTACTCACCTTAACACTATAAGTAAACTCTACTGTAATAACAATGCCTTTACTCACCTTAACACTATAAGTAAACTCTACTGTAATAACAATGCCTTTACTCACCTTAACACTATAAGTAAACTCTACTGTAATAATAATGCCTTTACTCACCTTCACTATAAGTAAACTCTACTATAATAATAATGCCTTTACTCACCTTAACACTATAAGTAAACTCTACTGTAATAATAATGCCTTTACTCACCTTAACACTATAAGTAAACTCTACTGTAATAATAATGCCTTTACTCACCTTAACACTATAAGTAAACTCTACTGTAATAATAATGCCTTTACTCACCTTAACACTATAAGTAAACTCTACTGTAATAATAATGCCTTTACTCACCTTAACACTATAAGTAAACTCTACTGTAAGAATAATGCCTTTACTCACCTTAACACTATAAGTAAACTCTACTGTAATAATAATGCCTTTACTCACCTTAACACTATAAGTAAACTCTACTGTAATAATAATGCCTTTACTCACCTTAACACTATAAGTAAACTCTACTGTAATAATAATGCCTTTACTCACCTTAACACTATAAGTAAACTCTACTGTAATAATAATGCCTTTACTCACCTTAACACTATAAGTAAACTCTACTATAATAACAATGCCTTTACTCACCTTCACTATAAGTAAACTCTACTTTAATAACAATGCCTTTACTCACCTTAACACTATAAGTAAACTCTACTATAATAACAATGCCTTTACTCACCTTCACTATAAGTAAACTCTACTGTAATAATAATGCCTTTACTCACCTTCACTATAAGTAAACTCTACTATAATAACAATGCCTTTACTCAACTTCACTATAAGTAAACTCTACTATAATAATAATGCCTTTACTCCCAAAGTCTACTCAAAAAATGGCGTTTTGGGGGTCGCTGAATCCGCTGAGAATGGTTTAGTAGGGAAAAAAAATCACCGATCAAGGTATTCGAGAAAACAGTGAGAATGCCTGCATTTCCATATTTTTTTGTTTTCCCAAAGAACACAGCGTTGGAGGAATATACGCCCGCTCTTCTCAACTGAGCTCAGAAGTTTCCTCACTTTATATACAAATCCTCAATAATAATCCAATAATTTCCATATTCTCACCAACACATGTAGTTGACCATGTGCATCACATTTCCCCCCACACTGCAAAAACCTGATAACGCCTTTACTCACCTTTACACTATAAGTATATCGTTGCAGCTCTCTACCGCGACTGCCGATTCTGCCCAGCTCCGCTCGGGTTCTCTGCCGTTCTGTGAGGCCACTAATCTTGAACAAGATAAAGCGAATACCCACGCGAAAAATATGCACAA